AAGTCCTGTACAGCTTACTTGTTTTATAATTGGCTTCCCGTTTAGCGAGAAGTGTCTTTTCAAAAACATAATAGAATGCAGCTGTCAAGAAATAAAGGTTTACCTCTTCAGCCACAACCTAAGTGAAAGTACGCTGTGTTTGACATAATATTTACTTTTCTGGCATGTTCGAACTCAGGTTCAAAGAAGCTGGCAATTGAGTTACTGAAATCCCTGAAAATTAATCATGATTTCAAAAGGCTGTAATAAAAGTAACAGCTTCAGTAAACACACATCACTCTATTTTCTATTCTAGTTGCATTGAAGGCTCTAGTATCTGCAATGCCTGATGCACCTTTAGGTGATGACTTGAGACATATTCCATTTCAAAGTTGCCACGCTCTCTGACACATAAGGTCAAGTGCCATATAGACCAATGATGCACTTGTACTTCAGTTTACGAAATAAAATTATATTTTGAAGCCAGAATATCTTACAGTCCAACCACAATGTGATTCAAAATTATATAGTAATGATCAGATAAGAGTAAATTTCGGATTTAATATCCTGAGGACTAGATGAACAGTGAAAGACTATGGAAGCTAAATAGACCCACAGTTTTGAGGTCATGGGAAAGGATGAGTTCAAGCAAGAGACTGAACTATGGATCTTCATTTCAGTGCTCTGAGAATGTGAGGAAACAGAAGAGACATGTTTGGAGTTTACAAGAAACTGGAAAACTATTGAGATGAGTGATGTCTACCATGATGCCTGTACAATAAATGCAGATAAGTTGCACTTCAGTGAGAAAGGGATTGCCTTTTGAGATTGGGGAAGGGCTTTCTTCTGGTGATGGGTTCTCAGTTGCCATTTGAAATCCTACTGCATAATAAGTGACCTCTGACCCAACAAAATGTGTTGGGGTTGGATGGATTTAGGTGCTTTGGCCTGCTGCTATCTCATTTGGAAGAGCCCACATTTTATGGAATACCATCTGAAGGGAGCTCTCGAGAAGTAGGACACTAAGAAGCTCAGAGGAATGGAGGGATCTTTGGGTGTTTGCCCTCAGATCCCTGAAGGCAGCAGGACAGGGTAAAAGGGTAGTTGTTAAGGCATATGGGAAACATGCCTTTATATTAGTTGTGGCATTGATTATAAGAGCAGGAAGGTTATTCTGGAGCTGTATAGGACTTTGGTTAGGCCATTGCTGGAATAGTATGTGCAATTCTGGTCAACTCATCATTGGAGAGGGAGTGCAGAGGAGATTGACCAGTATGTTGCCCATGATAAAGCATTTCAACTGTGAAGAGAGCCTGGATAAGCTCAAATTGCTTTCTTTGGACAGAAAAGATTGAGAGGGCACCTGAATAAGGCGAATAAGGGATATGGACAAGTAGTCTGCTTAGTTGAAGGGTGAATAACAAAGGGTCATAATTTTAAGGTGATAGGCAGGAGGTTTTGAGGGGATTTGAGGAAAAACATTTTCACCCAGAGTCTAGAATGCAGAGTCTAGAGGATAGTTGAGGCAGAAAAACTCTCAACTTTAAAATGTGTGTGAATGAGCATTTCAAATGACATAATATTCAAAGTTATGAGCTAAGTGCTGGAAAGTGGGACTTGGGTACATTTATTGTAGTTGAGTTGGTGCAGACTCGATGGGCCAAAGGGCCTTGTCTGAGCTGTCTGATTTGTGGTACACTTTGTGAAAAAAAACTTTGGAGAATTGTTAAATAAAGATAGATGACTCACTGGAGTGTGTTTTAGTAGAATGTATATGGTAAAAATAGTACAGAAAATGATGGATTAAACCAGAACTTTTATGATTATGAATAATCTTTAAGTTAACAGCAGTTTTGAGGTTGGTGGCTCGCCAAGCTGGTTTCTTGTTTCGCAGACGTTTCATTACCCTGCTAGGTAACGTTCTCAGTGCAGCCTCCGTTGAAGCGTCAGTGTGTTTTCCCACCTGGTTTTTAAACTCTGGGGTCCGTTGAGATGGATTGCCTCACTTCCAGTTTTCCTTTGTAGTGGAATGAATATGGGGTCGAGTTCAATGTGTTTATTAACAGCATGCTTCGTGGAGTGCCAGGCTTCTAGGAATTCTCGTGCCTGTCTCTGCCTAGCTTATCCCAGGATTTTGGTGTTGTCCCAGTCGAAATGGTGGTTGTTCTTGTCCATGTGGATTGAGATGAGTGAGTACTGGTCGTGTCTTTTTGTAGTCAGTTGGTGTTCATGTACTCTTGTTAGTTTCCTTCCAGTTTGTCCGATGTAGTGTTTCTCACAGTCACTGTAGGGGATCTTGTAGATGACATTGGTCCTGTCCGTGGTGGGGAGTGGGTCTTTAGTTTGGATGAGCAGCTGTCGTAGGGTTGACGTGGGCTTGTGTGCCACTCTGATGCCCAGTGGCCATAGGAGTCTTGTGGTGAGTTCCGACATGCTCCTGATGTAGGGTAGTGTGATGAGTGTGTCGGGGCATGTAGTATCTTTCTGATGTTGTTCGTGTAGGTATCTTCTGACCCAGTTTTTTGGATATCCATTATCCTTGAAAACCTGGAAGAGGTATTCTACTTCCTCTTGGCGTAGTTCCGTGTTGCTGCAGTGTTGTTGCCCTTTTAAATAGTGTTCGCACGCAGCTTCGTTTGTGTGCGCTGGGATGGTTACTGTTGAAGTTCAGTACCTGGTCTGTGTGTGTGGCTTTTTGGTGTACTTTTGTTTGCAGTTCCCCATTTGTCTTGCGCTCTACCATGACGTCCAGGAATGGGAGCTGGTTGTTCTTCTCCTCCTCTTTGGTGAATTTTATTCCGGCGAGGGTGTTGTTTATATGTTTGTGTTTCTCCTCCAACTTGGTCCGTTTAATGATGACAAAGGTGTCGTCCACGTAGCGTATCCATAGTTTTGGTTGGATTTGCGGGAGGGCCGTCCTTTCTAGTCTTTGCATCACTGCTTCTGCTGTGAGTCCAAAGATAGGCGATCCCATGGGTGTCCCGTTGATTTGCTCGTATGTTTGGCCGTTGAAAGTGAAGTGGGTGGTGAGGCATAGGTCCAATAGATTTGACCATGTTGTCCTTAGAGATGGTTTCACTGGGGTCTTGCTCTTGTTCCAGTAGTGTTGTCATTGTTTCCCTTGCTAGTGGTATGTCTATTGATGTAAATAAGGCAGTGACATCAAAAGATATCATGGTCTCTCGGGGTGTGTTGGTTCCTTTGAGTTTCGTTCTTGAGAAGTCTCCCGATTCTATGGCCTCCCTAAAGTGCACAAGCCGGAAGCCCCCGTCAGACCCGTAGTCCCCCTACCAGGCACTCCATCGCACGGATTAGCCAAGGAACTACAAAGGAGACTCAGGCACCGAGTCAACAAGTCACCCCACTCTATCCACTCAGCCCAAGAATTCCTCAACTCCATCAAAGACATAAGGATAGACGACGAAGAGACCATGATATCTTTTGATGTCACTGCCTTATTTACATCAATAGACATACCACTAGCAAGGGAAACAATGACAACACTACTGGAACAAGAGCAAGACCCCAGTGAAACCATCTCTAAGGACAACATGGTCAAATCTATTGGACCTATGCCTCACCACCCACTTCACTTTCAACGGCCAAACATACGAGCAAATCAACGGGACACCGATGGGATCGCCTATCTTTGGACTCACAGCAGAAGCAGTGATGCAAAGACTAGAAAGGACGGCCCTCCCGCAAATCCAACCAAAACTATGGATACGCTACGTGGACGACACCTTTGTCATCATTAAACAGACTAAATTAGAGGAGAAACATAAACATATAAACAACACCCTCGCCGGAATAAAATTCACCAAAGAGGAGGAGAAGAGCAATCAGCTCCCATTCCTGGACGTCATGGTGGAGCGCAAGACAAATGGGGAACTGCAAACAAAAGTACACCAAAAAGCCACACACACAGACCAGGTACTGAACTTCAACAGTAACCATCCCAGCGTGCACAAGCGAAGCTGCGTGCGAAAACTGTTTAAAAGGGCAACAACACTGCAGCAACACGGAACTACGCCAAGAGGAAGAAGAATACCTCTTCCAAGTGTTCAAGGATAATGGATATCCAAAGAACTGGGTCAGAAGATGCCTACACGATCAACATCAGAAAGATACTACACGCCGGGACACACTAATCATACTACCTAACATCAGGAACACGTCGGAACTCACCATAAGACTCCTACAACCGCTGGGCATCAGGGTGGCACACGAGCCCACGTCAACCTTATGACAACAGGTCACCCAAACTAAAGACCCACTCCCCACCACGGACAGGACCAATGTCATCTACAAGATCCCCTGCAGTGACTGTGAGAAACACTACATTGGACAAACTGGAAGGAAACTAACAACAAGAGTACATGAACACCAACTGACTACAAAAGGACACGACCAGTACTCACTCACCTCAATCCACATGGACAAGGAGAACCACCATTTTGACTGGGACAAAACCAAAACCCTGGGACAAGCTAGGCAGAGACAGGCACGAGAATTCCTAGAAGCCTGGCACCCCACGAAGCATGCTATTAATAAACACATTGAACTCGACCCCATATTCATTCCACTACGAAGGAAAACTGGAAGTGAGGCAATCCATCTCAAGGGACCCCAGAGTTTAAAAATCAGGCGGGAAAACACACCGACGCTTCATCGGAGGCTGTACTGAGGATGTTACCAAGCGTGGTAACGAAATGTCTGCGAAACAAGAAACCAGCTTGGCGAGCCAACCAACCTCAACACCCACAACCCGAGCTACAAATCTATTCCAAAAGTTTATTAACAGCAGTTTCCATTGTTTTAGAATAGTCTGGAATAAATTGTAAAAAATAAAGTGATGTTATGACAAATAAGAAATACATTGAGTTTTCTATTAAATTAACACATTATATTGAGTGGTCTTTACAGTTGAACCTTTGGACACTTTTAAGCTTTACAAATGCTGGTAAAACATCATCATTTTTCTTAATTTATTGACCAATTTAATCCTTTGTTTTGAGCAGGTATTCAACCTTTCTGAAAGGAGATATGATCTTGCTAAGCTTAACTCAAAGGTACAGCATTGCTTTATTTTTACATAGTATGGTTTTGTATGTGTCTAACCCCTGGTCAAAAGATTCCAAACCTTAATTTCAATACTGTATGTAACATATCACGTGACTGACTAATGCTATAACTTTGTAATGCTATTTATTAAAGTATAGAATTACTGCTGTTCTTGGGTTTTGTGCATTTGATTAACTTAAATCTGCATTCTGTCTGGTAAATTTTACATTCTCTCATTTATTGAACTATTATCTAAGAGGTAGTATTACTTAAGGTATACAGTATGGCCCTGAAACAAGCCATTTGGCCCAACCAGTTCATGCTGATGGCTATGCTATACTTGAGATTTTTCATCTTTTCTCATCTGAACCCACTACCACAACAATTTATGCCGTACTTCTCCATTTGCTTGTCTACATTTACACTTTTTACAAGCTGAGAAACAGTTTTAAATGGTCTTAAAATAAATGTAAGATTTTAAAGTTGAATGTAGAGAATGTTAAGTCTCGATTACAATATGCAAGAAAATGTCATAATGAAATAAGCAACATTTTCCCAGCATTAAATGTTTAATATGAACTTCTTAACTAATTGGAATATGTTTTTTGCACAATAATCTTGTTTTGTTGATCAACAATGGTGACATGGTTTTACCTATAACAGGACTTTAATGGCAACGATTTACAATGGAATCTTCTTTGGTCTGTTTTTCATCTGCCCTGTTTGAAAATGGGGAATCCCAAAGGAAAATGAATTCTCATCCTTTGCTCCAATTTTATTTCTGGACAGAACCACTTTGAGAATTAACAGTGCTTGAGAAGTGTGCAACACTAAATTTCATGCCAGCGGTGCATCAGATCACCTGGAACTGACCTAGCGACTAGAAATGGCAATGGCAAACCCAACCTTATCGACCTGCAAAGTCCTCCTTATTAACATCTGGGAGCTTGAGGCAAAATTAGGAGAGTTGTCCCAGAGAGCAGTCAAGCAACCACCTGGCATGATCTGTAATGTGTACTTTGGTTAGTATGACTATGTCCAATATACTGGCAAAGTCCTCTGTGACTGGATGGACAGACTGACCAGAGATGATGGCCTAGTGTTACACAACTGAGAGGGAGTTAACCTGGGAGTCCTCAGAATTCACTCCGGACCTCAAGATGTCTAATGAAAGAAGGTCAAACCTGGGCAAGGAAACCACCTGCTGAATGCCAGCAACTCCCTTCCTCAGCTCTTGAGTTAGTACTCCTCTTGGACAAAACACTGAGGATGGCCAGCCCACAAAATGTCTGGGCATCTTCAATGTTCATCACCCAGATTTGGCTTGGTAATGCCGCTACTGACTGAGCTAGTTGAGCCCTAACGGACATAGTTGCTAGACTGGGCCTGCGGTACCTTATGAGAGAATTAACAAGAGAAATAAAATCCTACGGAAATCACCATCATCAGTTTGCCTGTCACAGAAGTGTCTTTCTGTTGACAGTGGTTTGTAGGATTGACCACATGCCGCAATGCTTGTGCGGACAAAGATCCATCCTGACACTGAGGATACTTTCCATTATGTTTTGTAGCTTGGCCAGCTTGCTAAATAGGACAGATTTCAAACAAAACCAGCAAATAAAAACTGGGCACCCATGAGGTGCTCTGGGCCATCAGCTCCAGAAGAATTCTACTTTAACACAATCTGTAACCTCATGGCCTGGCATATTCCCCAATCTACAATGACCGTCAAACTAGGTAATCAACCCTCGTTCAATGTAAAGTGCAGGAAGGCATGCCAGGAGCAGCAACAAGAATATCAAAAAAGAGGTGCCTGTGTCAACCTGTTGAAGGCATGACATAAGCCTACTTGATTGCCAAGCAGTGTCAACACTTCATGACAGACAGAGCTAAGCAATCCCGCAAACAATGGATCAGATCTAAGCTCTGCAGTCCCGCCACATCCAGTCGTGAACGGTGGTAGGAAATTCAACAAATGACCCCATCCTCAATGATGGCGAGCCTCCAATATCAGTGTGAAAGGCAAAGCTGAAGTAGTTGCAACCATCTTCAAGCAGAAGTGCCAAGGGAAAGTACCACACTGCCTCCTCTTGATTTCCTCAGCATTACAGATGCCAGTCTTGAGCTGATTCACTCCACATGATATCAAGAAGCTGCTGAAGGCACTGGTTCCTGCAAAGATCATGGTTTCTGGCCATATTCTGCAAACATGTGCCCTCAGAAATTACCACATCCCCAGACAAACTGTTCTGGTCCAGCTGCAACATTGACATCTACCTAGCAATGTGGAAAATTGCCTAGGTATGTCATGGCCACAAAACACTGGATCAATTCAACCCTGCTAATTGCTGTCAAATTTACTTGCAGTCAGCAAAATGATTGAAGGTGTTGTTAAAGTGCTAGCAAGCAGTATTTACTTAGCAATAACCTGCCCACTGACACTCAGTTTGGGTTCTGCCAGGGCCACTCAGCTCTTGACCTCATTATAGCCTTGCTTCAACCATGGATAAAAGAGCTGGATTCCAGAAGGGAGGTGAAAATTGACATCAAGGTTGCTTTTGATGGAGTGCGGCATTGAGAAGTCTTCACAAAACTGGTGTCAAAGGAAATCAGGGGGAAATCTTTCTGCTGTTTGGAATCATACCTGGCGCAAATGAAGATGGTTGCGATTTTTGGAGGTCAGTCATCTCAGCTCCAGGACATCTCCGAAGGAGTTCCTCAGGGTAGTGTCCTAGGCTGAACTACCTACAGCTGCTTCATCAACAACCTCCCCTCCACCATAAGGCCAGAAGTGGGGATGTTCACTGATGGTTCCACAATGTTCAGCACCATTCGCGACTCCTCAGATACTGAAGCAGTTGTGCCAATATTATTCAGGCTTGGGCTGACACGTGACATTCTCATCACATAAATGCCAGGCAATGATGATCTCATTGGTGAAAGAAGAGGGGAGAAATTAAACACACTCATTTATAAGAATGCCTATCATGTGTAATAGGAATACGAGCAATTTAGGAACAGGAATGGCCTGAGAGTCCTAGAGGAACTTTACATTTTACTGTTCAGCTTCCCATTTGTACATTCTTACATGTCACTCAGTCCCCTGTCTCTGCAAAAACATGTCTCATTTATACTGTTTTTCTTATGACTGTTTGCAGTTACATCAACCATATGCCAGTTACCCTTCATTTTAATGCTCTATTTTTTGCCAACTTTCTGTTTTGAAAATTGTATTTCATAATTTTTGATCCTTTCAAACCTGCAAACAGTTTTTGTGGACCAGTTTTGTTAATTTGCTATAAGTCACCTTATGTTTCATGTTCTGTTTTCCTTTAACAGCCCATCGTCCTCAAACTATTATCATGTTTTAATAGTTCCCTTGTTGCACTGACTTTTACTCTTTTCAATCTAAGAATTTCAGAAATTTCCGTTATTTTCAACTGGTAATCAAATTGGTTGAAACCTCATGTTTTAGGAATTCCCACTACTTCTGTTGGGAATTCATGTTTTTTTAAAATCCATTTTAATGGACCAGGGTTCACATGGCTCTGCCCATACAAATGTAGTTAAACATTAAAGTAATCTTTTTTAAATCCAAAATGACTCTTTAAAAAGTAGCAGTTTTATTGGAAGTAATAGTTCCAGTTGTAAAATGGTTGATAGAAACAAGTGCTTTTATGTTTGTCATTCATTATTTCACACTTGGAGAAAGTTCATTTTACATTTATTCCAAAGCACAATAAATTGCAGACATGGCAATTATGTGGTTGCTCTAAAATATTAAAAGTTTTAAATGTTTTGCAAACATTGCGTGTAACATTATCAGTTCTTCTGTGATGACCAATTTTATGAAGAATTTGATGAATAAGCACCTTCAATTTTGCTAATTTGAGATTCAACTCTGAAATATGAAGTTTTGCTTTAAAACAAGGCACATAATCTTAAAAAGTACTTTACCAGATGTCTTTTGTTAACCCTTGAGAAACTAAAATTTGCTTCATGTTTCAGCTGATGGATGTAGGTTGGCCTGACCTCCATGCGCCACCATTAGATAAAATGTGTACCATATGCAAATCTATGGAGACATGGATTAACGATGACCCACTTCATGTGGTGGTTATCCATTGCAGGGTAAGCATATTCCACACTAATACTGCACTTTTATTTCTAACTCTTTCATGTTTGTATGTAATCATTTACTTTATGAACATTGTCTTTTGTCTTATAAAGTTCCTAAATACCCGACGGGCCTTCACTGGATTTGAAATAGATATTTTCTATCATGCTACAAAAATAACTTGCCTTTTTTCTGAATTGGCAATATGGTCCAAAGATTGTAAGCATGACTGTTTTGAAAATAGGGAAAAAAAGCCTCTCAGTAGTGCAGTCACATTTATTGTCTGAGGGATGCTAATACTGTGGAGTAGAATTTGTTTTTAGACTGTTTGTAGTTATTGTTCTACTGTTCTGAGCTCAAATAGAGAATGGTTCGATACAGGATAAAGTTTTCTTTGCACTATTTTACTGATATTGCCTCAATGACAAACTCAGAAAAATGCTTCCATTCTCATAATCATATTATTGTGATTATAGACTTAGCCCCAATAAGTGGCAAATTGTGAGTAAGACTGTGCTGGGAACTTGTAGCTACAAAAATTGATTTGACGTAACACAATCTTATTTCCTGTTGGATCTTTACAGATTCCACAGGGAGAAGAAGTGTAATTCATTACACGTTGCTGCCATCAAAGCCAGGTCTTCAAGATGAAAGAAGTAGCACATAATGTATTGCCTAGTCCCAGTACAAAGTTGAATTGAAGTACCCTCAATGTGGTGATTAAAAGCAATTTGTGGTTTACTAAACTGGGTTTGATCCTTAGCCTGTGGTGATTTAGTTGATTTCAGGTTTTCGGCGAATAGAGAGTAAGTTGGGTGACAAGGAGGTAGAGACGGCATCATAAGTGATTTCTGTATCATCAGGCAAAGAGCATGGAGCATGGAACATGTGCCGACCACATTCTTTTTCCTGGTTGGCATGCTGGAAGGCCCACCTGTGGGGGGAATTGATCAGGATGGCTTGAAGATTTTAATAATTCAATGTCAAGGTTGATAATGACTTTTTAGTGAAGTACTGCTGAGCTGCCAACAATTGTGCAACTTATCCAAACATAAATCACCAGTTAGTGAAGGAAGAAAGAAAACTTTCTAAAATCAGTTGTGTTTATCTTTTTTGGCTCTTTTCAATCAAATGCAGTTAGAGATTATATATCCAGGATGTAAAGCATTGTAATTGAAAGCTTTTGAAAATCCATCATTTTACTAAATGTGAAACTCAAGAAGTTCTAACTAGTGAAACTAATGACAAAATGTTTTAGATCGTTTAAATTTTGCTTTTAGTTTTGCTCTCATTTTTCTATTTCAGTCAGTTGCACTGTGTTTGGAGGAAATGTAAGATTGTGTTTAGCAACGAATACGTCTATGGTTATAGTCAATTCAAGACCCTGGTTTTGGGCACGCATGCCAAAGGGGTTACTTAGAATAATTGGTGCAAGCTATACCTAACCATATCAATCAGATTATGGCTAGGAGATGAATGATCCATTTACTCATTAGTTTCTGCATTGATTTTGCATTTCATAAAAACATAAACAATACTGCATAGGTATATTTTGCTTTTTGTTGAAGTAATACATTTAAGGTGAGAGGGGAAAGATATAAAAAGGACCTAAAGGGCAACTTTTTCATGTAGATAGCAGTGCGTGTATGGAATGAACTATCAGAAGAAGTGGTGGAAAATGGTTCATTTAAAACACATCTGGATGAAAATGTGAATAGGAAGGGTTTAGAGGAATATTGGCCAAATGCTGGCAAATGGGACTAGATTAATTTAGGATATCTGGTCAGCATGGATGAGTTGGACTGAAGGTCTGTTTTCATGCTGTACAACTCTGACTTTATAATATCTTAGTCATTTTAGAATCTAAAACTACAGTCAGTGTTTATTCTACTTAAGTTTTTTTCAAAAAAAATGTAAAGAACATTGTTGGTAGTGTAGTGATTGGAACCAGGTTGACCTCATTGACTATAAATTCATTTATTGGGATTGTTAATCTGGGCCAATAAGGAAAGCCTTGGCTGACCAATATAGACAGGAGATTAGAATCCCCTCAGTTCAGGGACTGACTCCGAGCTGGCTGGCCTCAGCCAGTGTACTGTGCACATTTAAACAAAGGGTGACTTGGTGACGGGATACTGGACTCGGTGCAGTTATTTCAGGTAGATTCCATGATCCCTTCATTGCTAAAACTTGCAGTTTCTTACTCATTAACAAAATATGACTCATTAATGAAAGAGGACTTGTGGATCTTAAGGCAACACTTTCTGAACTATTTTGTTTGCACCACTTTATTCCCCTTTCTTCAAAGCGATATTCATGCTTTTGCACACATTTAATTAGTAGTCCTCATCTGCGTCCGTTGCTGAATGTTGATGAATTTTTCAATGAAATGGACATTCCAGTCAAGCTATACAGTCCACACACATACAGCGCTTCTAATTGGCATCTCTTGAGTTGATCGTTCATGAGAAGCCATAGCTAAATTCCCTCCTCCCTTGCACCATCCAAATTTCAGTTATCCAAAAATGCTGAAATCAATTGTATCATAGGTTCAATTAACTGGAGACAGGCTAGCAATAGTCTGTGTGGTTTAGTGGAACGTTGTGGACTTGCCTCTATGCAACAGAGCGTTGAAACGGAATGATGAGGTATGAATCTCTCAAGCAAATCTCTTGCTATGTACATTACATGGGAAACCCATTTGGCAGTGGCAATTTTTAAACTATTGAATACCCCAATACAGTAATTATGCCAGGAAAACCTAATAACTAGAATAGGCCATGCAGGCCCTCATGCCTGTTCCACTATATTATCAGGTAATGGATAATATATGCTTCTGCTCCATCCTGTCTCTATAACCTTGCTTTACAAAAATCTGTTAATCTAAAGTCTATGTTTAATAGATAGGCATATGGATGATAGTATAAGGTAGTTAGACCTTAAGATAGATTTTAGGTTTAGGGTAAAAGTTCGGCACAATATCGTGGGTCGAAGGGCCTGTACTGTGCTGTACTGTTCTATGTTCTACGTTCTTCAAATTATTAACCTAACAACTGTTGCCTACTGAAGAACAGAAGCCTAAATTTCCATCACATTTCATATCTGTGCACATTGCAAATATGTGGGTGCGCTGCAATATTTTCCAAAAAAAATTGGCTCATTATAAACCTGGTACTTTATATTTTTTCCAAAAGTGCTTTGGAAGTGTCACTGTATAATCTACACAACTACAGAATAGAATGTGGGTTACCATAATGTAGTCATAGAACGTGGCTGAGAAAACTTGGCAATGCAATGTGCTTGTGCAGATTTTGAAAGTAAACCAGTATTCAGCAGAGTAGAATGACTTGTTAAATGAAGGTCAAGATGTTCTTCTATGTGGGCTTAACTGTACACACCTAAATTAAGTTTTACTATTTGATATCAAATTCTAAATTTTCAAGCTTGTTTATATGTGTACATGTATCTTTGATTTGATTATTACAAAGCATGTGCTATTTTCATTTTTCTATGTTCTTCATGTGACAAGTTCTGTAAATTTTCTTGAAAGAGAATATTGCAGGAATTAACTTTCTCCTCCTAGCTTTGCAAGGGCAAGATGGAATTACTGACTAGCATCAGCTGCAACTGTGGAGATAAACAAATGTTTCAAGTCTGTGACTTTCCACCAGACTAGAAACTATTAGAAAAGTAACAGTTTTATGCAAGTATGGAGGCAGAGGAAAGGTGGAAGGGGAGAAGGGAAAAAAGGGAAGGTCTGAGATAAGGTGGTGAGCAGTAGTGATCAAGTGCCAAAAGAACGTTTGTGCAGGGGAGAAGGGAATGTCATGGGACGAGGAAAGAACCAAGAGATAGGTTTCCAGGAGATGTAAATGGTAACAGCAGCGTCATTGCTAACAGTTGCTATATGTCAAAGAAAAAATGAACAAAGGTTAGGATCTGAAACTGTTGAATTTGGTGTTGAGCTCTGAAGATTGTAAAATGCTTAAATAAGGGATGAGGTGCAGCGCTTCCTGAGCTTAGAACAGTATATGAGATTGAGGCATAGAGAGACCAGAATGATATAGACATTTACTAATAGTGCTGATACTGAATTCCCCACTAACAACATCTTGGGGGTGACCATTGACAAGAACCTGAAACTGAACCAGCCAAGGCAAAACACTATCAATGCTGATTCCCCATACAACTGAGACGCAGTGACAGCGGTGTGTACTGCAGCAACTCATCAAAGCTCCTTCACCACCACCTCTCAAATTGTGACCTCTGTCACTCGTAGGACAAGGACAGCACATTCTTTGGAACACCGTCACTTGTAAGTTCTATCCAAACTACGCATGATCCTGACTTGGAACTACATTAGTGTTCCTTCAATATTGCCGAGTCTTAATCTTAGAATGCCCTTCCTAATAGCACTGTGAGTCCTATTAGGGATAATTAGAAATGGGAAATAAGTGTTGGCCCAGGCAGAGATGTCTAGATCCTGTAAAACAATAAATAATAAAATGAAATGCAATCAACCGAGTATTTGTGCTCAGCTTGTGGACTGAATGGTGTAATGATTCAATCTACGTTTGTTCTCCCCAGTATAGAAGAGACTGAATTTTGAAGAATGAATGTAGAATACTGAATTGAAAGATGTTCAAGGAAATCACTTTCATTCAGAACAAGCAATTGGGATCTGAGACAGTGTGATAGGAGCACATAAAACAAATTATGTTGAACCTCCTGTGTTTACATATAAAGATGTTTGAGATGATTAAAGAGTGGATCAAGTTGTTGGGGAGGGAATAGTCTTTTGGACTGGTGAAAGATGAGTGCACGATGTTATTTCCTGATGTGGTGGTTCCATTTCTGTATTATGGAAGTTCTTGTTTCTGTCCTTTCTCTGAAGCCATTTCACACTCTGCAAACTGCAGGAATATTGATTTAACTGTGGTATTGATTGAAGGGACAAAGTTCCAGACTAGAATTCTGTTGTTTGCTTAAAACGTAACATCTACCTGAATGCACA